ATAACCCTTGCTAAGACTTCTAGCAGCAGGGAATAAGGAACATGAAGTTGCCAACTCCTATAGCCACTTAGAACTTTCAGTGAAGGGATTGAGACACCCACCCTCCCATAAAACCTTCAACCCCAAATTTGTTCTGCCTACAAGAAGTATAGGGATAAAGATGGAGCAGAGATTGAGGGAATGGCAAACCAATGACTGGCCCAATTTGAGGCCCACCCCATGGGAGAGAGGCAACCCATGACACAACCCTGTCTGCTATGCTTGCAGGCAGGAGCTTAGCATAACTGTCTTTGGAGAGGCTTCATTTAGCAGCAGATGGAAACAGATTCAGAGACCCACAGCCAAACAATAGGCAGCACTCAGGGAGTGGAAGGAAGAGTGTGGAAGGAAGGATTGTGGGAGCCAGTGGGGTCAAGGACACCACAATAAGACATATATAATAAACTAACAAGGGCCAATGGTGGCTTACAGAGACTGAAACATCAACCAAAGAGCATGCATGGGCTGGACCTTGGCCCCCTACACATATGTAGCTGATGAGCTGCTTTTTCTTCTTCGTGTGGATCCCCAACAATTAGAGTAGAATTTTTCTCTAACTCTATTGCCTGCCTTTGGATCTTTTCCCCATAGCTGGGTTCTCTTGGTTGGTATCAGTGGGAGAAGATGTGCTTAGTCCTGTTAGAACCCATGGAGGCCTCCCCTTTTCTGAGGAGAAGAGGGGTGCAGCAGGAGAGTGGACTGTGAGGGTTGGATTGGGAGGACAGGAAGGAGGGGGCTGCAATCAGGTGGTAAATTGATTAAATAAATAAATTAATGGACAAAAGGGGAAAGAAATTCGATACTTACCAAAACTGGAACACAAATGGCAAAAAAACACATGAAGAAATGATCTCTGTTATATATCAGGGAAGCAAATGTTAAAAGTGTGATATACTTGACCCCTGTCAAGAGTGGCCAATATCTGGAATGCTGACACCAACTTTTTTTTACAAGAACTTAGATCCACAGAGATGGCTGTTCTTTTTTGGTGGAAATTCCAAATGGTATAATCACTTTGAAGTAGAGCTATTGGCTTCTTAAATATACTTTTGCTACAGAGCCTAGCACTGCCACTGCCTGCTTGGGTGTTTACCTAAAGAAACTGAAAAGATACATCTCCACAGAAAAGGCTGTACATGAGTATTTATGTTAGCTTTATTTATAGTAGCTAAATATGGATCATCAGAAGATTAGTAATAATATATTATTGAGTATTAATGTGAAATAAGCCACAATGAATGGGAAGATGTGGAATTACTTTAAGTAATTACTTTAATTACTTAAACTATCAGAAATCAATCTATAAAATAGTATGGCTCCAACCATTATTCTGGATAAGATAGAACTTTGAAGACGGTAAAAGATTAGTTTTTGCCAAGGGTTTGGGGAAAAAGGAAGGTGGTGGGTAGAGCAGAAGCATCTGTTATGACTGTGAAACTCTACACTGATACTGTAATGCTGAGTAACTGTCACTGAGCCTACTTTCTTTTTTTAATTAGTTTTTATTTTTATATATTAATTGCATTTTATTCATTTTGTATACCAGCTGTAGCCCCTTCCCTCAATCCCTCCCCATCACATCTCTCCTCCCTTATCTCCTCCCATGCCCCTCTCCAAGTCCACTGATAGGGGAGGTCCTCCTCCTCTTCCATCTGATCCTACCTTATCAGGTCTGATCAGTTCTGTTACATTGTCCACCACTGTGGCCTGCTCCTTCCTCAGCGGGAGGTGATCAAAGAGCCAGCCAATGAGTTAATGTCAGAGACAGTCCCTGTTCCCCTTACTAAGAAACCCACTTGGATACTGAGGTGCCATGGGCTACATCTGAGCAGGGGTTCTAGGTAATATCCATGAATGGTCCTTGGTTAAAGTATCAGTCTCTGAAAAGGTCCCTGTGCCCAGATATTCTGGTTCTGTTGCTGTCCTTGTGGATCTCATGTCCTCTTCAGGTCCCACTATCTTCCCCTTCTTTCATATGATTCCCTGCACTCTGCCCAAAGTTTGGTTAAGAGTCTCAGCAACTGCTTTGATACACTGCTGGGTAGATTCTTTCAGAGGCCCTCTGTGATAGGCTCCTATCCTGTTTCCTGTTTTCTCCCTTTTCCAATGTCTATTCCATTTGTCTTTCTGAGTGAGGATTGATCATCTTACCTAGGGCCCTCCTTGCTTAGCTTCTTTAGGTGTACAGCTTTTAGTATGTTTATCTTATATAATAGGTCTAAGTTATAAGTGAGTATATACCGTGTGTGTCTTTCTGCTTCTTGGATAACTCACTTAGGATGATCTTTTCTAGAGGCCACCATTTGTCTGAAAATTACATGATTTCCTAGTTTTTAATTGCTGAGTAGTATTCCATTATGTAAATGTTCCACAATTTCTGTATCCATTCCTCAGTTGAGGGACATCTGGGTTGTTTCCAGGTTCTGACTATTACGAATAAAACTGCTACAAACATGGTTGAAAAATTGCTCAGTACTTGAGTTACAAACCAAGTAATCCAATAAAAAATGGGGTACAGAGCTAAAACAGAGAATTCTCTGTGGAGGAATATAGAATGGCAGAGAAACACTTACAGAAATGCTCAACATCCTTAGTCATCAGGGAGATGCAAATCAAAACGACCCTGAGATTTCACCTTACACCCATCAGAATGGCTAAGATCAAAGACTCAAGTGACAAGACATGCTGGAGAGGATGTGGAGAAAGGGGAACCCTTCTCCACTGCTGGGGTGGAATGTAAACTGGTACAGTCATTTGGAAATCAGTCTGGCGCTTTCTCAGACAATTAGGAGTAGCGCTTCCTCAAGATCCAGCTATATCACTCCTAGGCATATATCCAAAATATGAGCCTACTTTCTAAGCCTTTTCAATCGACATTTTCAATAGTGACTTTTAATATCAATTCTGCCTGTTGATAATGATGCTTCAGAATGAGTTCATCAATCAAAACAAATGGACCACTTTGTTGGCAGACGTTATGCAAGGGTGTGGAGATCTGTGGGATGTCTCTATGTTATCTTTTTTGGTTTTACCATGAAATTGTGACCTTTAAAAAAAATAAAGTAATTTTAATGATATAAATATGCATAAATAAATAGCTTTATAATGCAATGAGTTACTATTTAAATGCAAGTGAACTTCTATAACAAAATAAAATACTAATGGTTAAAATGATTTAAAAGTACCTCCATTACTTTATTTGTGGTAACAATATATTCATGCATATTTAATCAGTCTTCTAAGTGTCTCTAGTAGGATAATCTATTTATTTCAGCAACTAATATTATGAAATGTTTTCTATGTGAATCATTTCTCGGTGTGCAGGAACTTTCTTGTAACACACATGCCTGCCATTTTAGAACTTATAATATCAAGAATATCTAAATAAATCATATACATGATAATTAAAAAATATTCATTATTTTTTATTTTGTTCTTAATTTTTATTTTATTTTATTTTTTTATTATTAGTTACATTTTATTAACTCTGTATCCCAGCTGTATCTGCTCCCTCATTCTCTCCCAAACCCTCCCTCCCTCATCTCTTTCCTGCCCCTTTCCAAGTCCACTGATTGGGGAGGACCTCCCCTTTCATCTGATCCTGTTTTATCAGGTATCTTCAGAACTAGCTACAAAGTCCTTCTGTGTGGCCTAGCAGGACTGCTCATCCTTTGGGGGATTTTATTCATTATTTTGATGAACACTTTAAAGAAACAGAGCGAGAGCTTACCCAGAGAGCCACGCAAGTGTGGATGTGAAGGAAGCAACTAGGGGGCAATTGTAGAAACCCAAATGAGAATGACATCACCATTTAACTTTACTTTTCAAAATGACCTCTAAGCCTAGAAGCTATGTCTGAAGTCAGAGAACATAGTAAAGCATATAATTAATTCTGGTAATATAAAACATGCTTTATATTGGTGATTACATAGTTAAATTATATTAAATATAAGGAAAAAAACTCACCAGAGAGATAAAGATTTTCTGACTGTTTTAGAAATGACTAAAACTGCATTTCTACCAGAAGAACTCATATTTTTCTCCCTTACAATTTGACTAAGAGCCTGAACTTTCACTGTTTGGTATGTATTAGACATAATTTTATAACATATAGTATTTTGTGCATTTTCTGTCAGTATTGAAGTGAAAGGTACTTTGTGTGCTGCTAAAGTCTGGGGCTGCCAGTGTTTAATGTTTCTGCTGACCCAAGTCTTGTGAGTCTTACCAACTCTGAGTCAACATCCTCTTGGGGAGACGGTAGATCAGGTGGCTGAGAGTCCAACTAGATCAATTGTAGTGACAAGAGATTATGCATGCCTTCTAAATGGAGATTAAAGGGTCATAAATAAAATACTTTTGGCCCTAGAAAAGGTGGGACATATGAACCTTGAGAGGATGGAGTTTTAGGACTTTCATAATTGATCCAGCTTCTGGTTTATGGCATAGAGGATTCTCATGGGAGAGATTGTTTGTGCACTTACACACTCACAGGCAATGAGGGGACTTTCGGCATGCGTCTGTGCAGGACCATCTGTGGCCTCTCTGGCTCTCAGGTTAAGCCCACAGTCCTTTGTGGAGCTGCATGGAGTCACTAGACATTGCAGGCCTCTGTGACATAAATAGCTCTCAACTGGCATAGCTCAACAATGTATGGAACTGGGTACACAGTGACCCAGAATAAAAAGGAACCCAAATTCAGTGTGTTGGAGTAGAACAGCTTGACCATCTCATGCTTGTGGTTTTTAAATTATTTATTTCGATATTTTCCAAGGCTCATTTTTGTCCTCTGCAAACTGATAAAAGATCATATCCATTTATTAGAATTAGTGATTCAGAGGAACATAACCTTGCATTTGATATATAGTGATGTCCAATAAATGTTGAGAAACAATTTTTTTAATAATGAATATTCCTAATCACCCATACTTTATCTTGATTTTATTTTTTTCTTTTAATTACAGATGCTTCCTAAAATCCTGGACAAGCTAGCACCAGCATTCACCATGAACAGCTGCAGCTTTCTGGTGGAAAAATCACGAGCCTCCACTGCCCGGGTAGTAGTGTGGAGAGAGCTGGGAGTTTCCAGAAGCTACACCATGGAGAGCAGTTATTGTGGCTGCAACCAGGGCCCCTATCAGGTATGTGAGGTTTCAAGGCTCCCGCTCTCTGCTCAGCAGCAGAACATAGAAACGGGGAGCAAAAACAGACCTGTCTTTTTCCCTTGCAAGGGGGAGAAACTCCAAGCTGGGTCTTGCCTTACTCCTGTGCTGTGAAGAACTGATTGGATGATTATCTTTTCCTGCAGCAGCATCTCTGTTGATCCTAGAAACAAGGTGTGCATGCCTTTCAATGTGGTGCCTCAATCAGCCATCCTCACTTGCCAGCAGCAGGGAGCCTCTCTCTGATGTGAACTACCCGTTCTGGCTGTTATAGGCATGAAAATCTGTTATCTCTTTCAGTAACCAACCACTCCATTTATATCATAGAGTGTATAGGTCTATAGGTATGATCAAAACATTTCTGCATTGTGTGATTTCTGTGCCAGTGTAAACCCACAGCAGCTACCCACTGTCGCCAGAGCACAGCGAGGTGTGTGTGTGCACTGAGTCCACCAGAATGAGCGGGTTTTGGACTCATGTGCTGGTGTTGAGGGAAAGCATTCCCGTATAAATCACGTCCTTTCTACAGCTATATTAACTGCATGAACAGCTGGATAGCTGCCCCAGCACGCCACTCTGGCTGCTCTTCCCACTCTCCCATAGAGAAGCATAAATAAGAGAAGCGGTGACACTGCCAAGGTAATAGACTCTTTTAAATTTCTTAGTCACGTTGACAGACTACTCCTCGGTGACTTCTATTCAACCCAAGACTACCTGGACCTCACGAACACTAAAGCTCATTGGGTGTTGGCTTTGAGACTCCTGGAACAGCCAGAAGACATTTGGCATCTATCATGAATTTGTAGAAATCTGTTAACTATCTCAGGGAGTTTAAGGAATGGCAGGTGATGAGCTCTGCCTGTCTCTCCACATGGCCGAAGAGATTTTTTTTTTTTTGGTTATTTATTATTTGTTACAATTTATTCATTTTGTATCTGGGCTGTAGCCCCCTCCCTCCTGTCCTCCCAGTCTCACCTCCCTCCCTCTTCTCCCCCTATGTCCCTCCCCTAGTCCACTGAGAGGGGTGGTCCTCGAAGAGACTTTTGACACAGGGCTATTGAACCATTCATTTTGTCTTACTAATTCTTTCTGTTAATTAATCTACACAGTTGCTTCACAGAATTACTTTGTTACAGGATTAATGTTATTAGACTAAATTAATCCAATTTGTTCATGTTAATATAGATGCAAAGTAGAAAGACAGGATCTTTTCATGGGCAGCAACAGACCTCACTCTTCCACTTATCAAAATGCTGGAAGCTCATTACCTCATATGCCTATAAGCTTGCCAAACCAAATGAAGATATTAATGAGGATTCCTCTCTTTATGACACATGAGTTCTGTGAATGCATGCATGGCTGAAGATGATTTTATCAGGAATTTCTTCACTCTGCCAGCAGTCAAAAACCTATGAGATTAAAAAAAATAAGCCTGAAATATTGCAATCCTGTGGCCTTTTGAATACAGAATTTTACCTCTTTGCAATACGCCTTTTTTTATGGAATGGTGCCAGTCATTCAAAAACATTCCATGTATTTGTACGTTCATGTAACCCTTTGTAGATTTATTTGATTGTTGACTTTCATTGACTTAGTCCCTCTAGGAACTAATTCATCCTAGCATCATCTAGTCACATAAATATCAATGCTGCTCACAATAAATCAACTGGACACCCAAAGGCTTTTCTGGCTGTTTGAAAACAGAATGGCTTACAGGTCAGGTCCTCTCTAGATCTCCATTTTCCATATAACATACATAATGGCTGTTAGAGCTGTGAAGAAATAAAGGATACTCAGCCAATGAGATGGCTTTCAGGCACTGACCCAACATCTATCCTGTGAAACTTTCCACATTGCCTTTGTATGAGGTCTCTTAAAGGAAGAATGGACAGAGAACTGGCTACAGAAAGCTCTCACTGGGCCAGACCTGGTTTTGCTTTCACAGTCCCATGCTCTATATGAAACACCTCTATGAATGGATTGGTTTTTCTCCTTCCCTTTGTTTTCCTGTCCTTACAAACACTGCAGTCACGAAGCAGAATTACAGCCGGTGAGCAGGTCTGGGTGAGTAAATTTATATAAAGGAGGATCTACCTCATGGGAAAAAAGCCAGCCGAGAGTTGGGTGTTTGGGTGATTTTTGTTTGAGGCATATCATAAAGTCTATGAGCTATAAAGAAGTATAGAAATTTCTACCCTAATCATATTGCAAATGATTATTTTTATTTTTTTTACATTGGAAAGCTGAGTCCCAGGTGGATCTTGAGGTTATTATTCTAAGGTCATCTTTCCATTTTTTGTTTAGCATTACCATTTATCCAAAAGATTGAGGGTACTTAAATGTACCCATGAGGGGCATTCCTTCCTTGCTTCATAAGAATATAAATATTTTTGCAGTTTCTCTGGTTAACGTGGCTTTAAAGCAGTTCCAATCATTTCTTCCCCAGCACACTAAGTACCTGATTTGTTAGTAGTGAAATGAAATAGCATTTCTTACAGTGACATTTTTGCTGGAGCTACATTAAAGAACATTAGCCATTACATTCAGATAATTATTATTTATATGATATTTTTCTTCTATTTTCCAATCTCATAGTTGGATAGTTTTAAAGAAATCTCCTGCTTGAACCTCTTTGGGATACAGTCTCTGCTCTAGTTGTATAGTTATATCCATAATTTATGTTTAACTTGGAAGTCCCACCCACTGAGAGAATTACATTACCTGTTGAGGACTGGCCTAAAGCTTTTGAGGCTTCTGAGGGGGAAAGGCAAAAGAGAATGATAGAATCATCGGGGACTCATGCTTTTTAGAGGTGTCTAGTTGATATGGACATCTGTGTGCTTTTTATTGAATATTTGGGACCTGGGAGCACATACATCCTACACTTGATACACAAAAGCATGCATTTGGTTTTCCTGGGTTGCTAATGACTATGGAGGTTGCCGCAAGTTCTCTCACTCAAGCAGACTGTTGACATACTGCTTACCAACATCATGGACATTTGAAAAGATAACATGATCTTGCTCAGAGGTCTTGCTCTTCCATAGATGTGGGTGACTGAGTTGAAATCAAAGTGCGACTAGCTGATATTTGATTCCCTTCCCATGAGTTAGCTGCTTTATGTTATGGAACTTCCACGGGTGTGATCCATCCTTTCCAGCATCCCCTGAGGTATCTCTAACAGCCCTGAATTATTCGAGTCATAGCAATACCCATAATCCATCTGTTGCATGGCTTTGGCTTGGGAGGTATGAAAAAGCCTATTCATCTATATACGCGCCAACCAAGATAATTCCAAGAAGATAATTCCACACAAATTTAGGGTGGTGAAGCAAAGAACTTGTTACTTGCTTACTTGCTATAACATATGTGAGATATTATTTACAGGAGCATGTGTGGTCCTGAACACTTATACCACTGAAAATTTCTGCCGAAGCATGGATAACAACCTCACAGCTGCTGCACAGATTGACTCCCCTTTCCGTAGACCTTCCATCCACCATGTACTCCCCCACCTCCTGAGACCACATCCAACTAAGGCAGAATTATATATGAAAGGAATGAGTAGACTGTAATCATAGGAGAGGGCCTGAAGACCTTCCTCCAACTTTTACAAGGAACTGCTAATGGACCTGATCTTGGGAGGGTCTTGTGTGGTCCATCACTGTTCCAGAGGATGGCAGTCCATGACACTATCTAAGTGGGTTGTTTTTCTAACTAAGATCCAACTGTTTACCATTATGCTAAGAACTTTTTTAAAAAAATTCTTTAATAATTACACTTTATTCACTTTGTATCCCCCCTGTGGTTCCCTCCCTCCTCCTGTCCCAATCCCTCCCTTCCTCCACCCTCTGCATGCATGTCCCTCCCCAAGTCCACTGATAGGGGAGGTCTTCTTTTCCTTCCCTTTGATCTAATCAATTAGGTCTCATCAGGAGTGGCTGCAATGTCTTCCTCTGTGGCCTGGTAATACTGCTTCCCCCTCAGGGCAGGTAAGTGGTGGGATCTGGAAAAGATCATTCTAAGTGAGCTATCCCAGAAGCAGAAAGACGCGCATGGTATATACTCACTCATATAGACATATAATATAGGATAAACCTACTAAAATCTGTACACCTAAAGAAACTAATCAGGAGGGAGGACTCTTGCTAAGAACTTTTTAGGTATTGAATTTTTTTTTAATGCTCAATGCTTAGTCTAGTATTGAGTTACTAATACAATGTTTGATGAGAGAATAAAAAATGAATAAAATGAGCCAACTTTTCTAAATAGTGGTTAAATGATTATCCTATATGTCCATTTAACTAATAAAAGTAAAATTGTTGTGGTACAAATGTGATCAGAAACCTTTATAAAAGTATTTTTTGAGAACTGTTGCAAGATGTGCGAATGGAAAGTGTGTGGGTGGAAGATGTAAAGTCCGAGAAACCGGAGCTGAGACACCTCAGACCTGTCACTGTGTATATGATTTGAGAGCACCTAATGGATTCTTTCCCAGAATAAGTCAATCTGGTCCAGGTGTGGAACCTCTTATGGCCACATTCTCAAAACAGATGATTAGGCAGACAGACTTCCATTTGTCTACAAGGTAGATGCTGCAGTCTGTACTCTAGCTCCCATTTTAGGCTCTGTCACTCATGTCTCCTACATGCTTATAGCTATGTATATTGCCATGCATTGCCTCTATCTGAAGGAAGCTGTCAGCTGCTCTTCCCCAAACCCTGGCTCTTCTAGGGTAGTGCATTCAGTGGCAGGTGTAGGTTGGAAACAAGGGCCTAGCCTTTTGCCTGTTAGGACAACTTAAAATTTGTGATCCGCTCTCAATCTCTCTTATGGATCACCTGGGGCCTCTGTTGCATTTTCAGTGAAAGCTGGCTTCCCTCCTGCCCAACTTTGCTTTCTTACTGTTCACCATGTTTCAAGGAGCACTCTTTAAAATCTTCTATGAGAGTCTCTGAGACTCAGAAAATCCTTTCTGG